AGGCCGTCATCTCAGCTCCAAGGAACTCACCACCCCGATCTGTCCTAATCCGCTTCACCACACACTCCGCTTGCTTCTCCACGAATGGCAGCCAATCTTCCCGTATTGTAGAGGCGACATGGTCCTTTTGCTTCAGCGGATATGCCCACATAAGCCTGCTCCAATCATCCACTATGGTCAGAAAGTACCGCTCCCCCTTGTGCCCCTGAACCGGCAGCGGCCCCACCAAGTCCATGTGGACCAGCTCCAATGGCTTCTTGCTCCTGCCAGCCACACTATGGAAGGGGAAACGGGTAACTTTGAGAGCAAACAGATTTCACAATTCTCATCAGGTGGCTGTCCGTTCAGCTTCAGACCCTTAACGGCTCCATCTTTCTCCAACTGCTTCAACAAGGGCATTGCCACATGCCCCAAGCGTCGGTGTGCCGTTGCCCAATCCGTCTCCCCAGATCTGGCCGACACTTTCACACCAACCCCTCCAACGGCGTTGTACTCCCCCTGGGATGCAGACCCCTCTCCAGCCTGCCCCCCACCATGCCACGCCAACGCCGGCAGCTGCCACATGGATCTGTACACGTCCGTACTCTCGTGCAGATCCCAAAGCACCCGATTGCCCAGCTGCCCCTTGTAAGTGCGTGCCCCATCCGTGCTAGTGCTCACCCCAGACTTGCCAAGCTTACGGAGGGAGATGAGGTTGGCCTTGAGTTCAGGAACAAGGAGAACGTCGTGCAGCACCACCGGCTTGCCATCCGCTCCCTTAAACGCAGCTCGTCCCGCACCAGCCACCTTCAGCGCGTGTCCAGAGGCGGAGCACACCTCGTTGATCGGTGCAGCTCGTACGTGGTCCAGCAGGTCTTTTCGCGGCGTCATCGTCCAAGCAGCGCCCGTGTCCAACACCCAATAATCCAGGGGGTGCAGCCCTGCTCCAACCTTGGCAGAGGCGTCTCCTTGCTCCCCCTGCTCCCCCTTCTCTCCAATGTGGAAGAACTGGCCCGCGGTGCGCTCCTTCTTTTCCGCACCGCCGTTGCTCTTCGGGTTGTTGTTGGACGAGTCGGCAACCATGCTCGCGCCGTTTTTCTGGTTCCTCCGCGCGCCGCCATCCTGGTGACGATTCTGGGGGGTCCATCCATCGGGTTTCTTATAGCACAAAAACCAGGGGTGCCCCTCCTTCTCACAATACCAGCAACTCCCTTTCATTTTGCCACCACCACCCAACTTGCCCCCACGTCCAGATTTCGCACCGCGACCCCAACCGGTACCTCGTTGTTGGTCGTTGGACTCATCGTCCTTCTTTGCACCGCGTCCAGCATCACCGAAGCCACGTCCTCTGCCACGTCGGCTCCCTTGCATCCCGTAGTCGCTGCTGCCGTCGTCTCCACCCCTCAGTTGGCGGTGACAAAAGTCCTCCTCCAGAATCTTTGTCCGCACCCACTCGAGTGTCCACGAGCTCTGGTTCTGCGGCAGGTTCAATCCGCTCGTGAATTGAAGCCACGATTCCGGCAGCAGCGAGAGCATCTTCAGGCACTTGGTCTGCTCCGGGTAGGTGATTCCCGCGGTCGCCAACTTCGCGTAGAGGTCGCGCAATTTGTCCAGGACAGGTTGCACCGGCTCTCCCTCGCTCAGGCGCAACGCGGACAGCTCCCTCTCCAGCATCAACGTTGCAACAACGGAGGTCGGGGCGTGCAGCTCCTTCAACACGGTCCACGCCTTCGGACCGCACTCAACCTCCGGCAGCAGGTGCATGACGTGGTGACGCTGGTTCAGCTCCAAACTCTGCGACATCAAATAGTAGCCAGGCGAGGAGCGCTCGTCCCAATCTTCCTGCAGCGTGGGGTCACTCGGTCTAGGCTCCTCCCCAATCATTAGTTTCAGCAAACCGATCTGACGGAAATACAATTGCATTTTCCAGGCCCAATCATCATAGCCGTCACCATTGAACTTCTCGACGGTGAAGTTCTTCAGCACCTCCTTGACCAGCGAGCCCTGGTTTGTTCGCGCTCCCTTGGCGCTGAAACACCAGAATCATGGCTGCCGCTACGATCTTGGGCTGAAGATTCACCAGCTCCTGTCGAGGTGTTGCCCGCCATAGCTACCTATAACGAGGATCACTATAACGCAGCTCTGATACCAGCTTGTTGGTGTAAGGGCCTAATAAACTCAAGCTATTAAGACCTTATCAAACTTAAAACCTCTCCTCAGGGTCATCTCCAAGGGTCCTTGGGTGCCTGGTACAAGACCAGCCCCTATCCTCGGGTCCGAATTTGTAGAGAGAGGGATCAAGAGGGACTTGGTCAAAACAGCAAGAGTACCTTGAACGTCGCGCAGCGTATCGTGCAGACCGTCGATCGGATTAAGCTGAAAATTTCCTATATCAAAGCTCGCTCCAAGAGCTTCAAAATGAACCAAGTTGCATCGCGAAAAGTTCTGCCATTACGAAGTTATGGCTCGGACAGCGTTTGCCTCGTGTTGGAGTGCTAGTGTACTAGCGTTGACTTGGGTAGCATTCCGCCGTCGCACCGCGTAGAAACGAAATTCCAGGAAGGCAGGAATTCGCTTGAATCAAATTGACTATGTTCAGGTACAAACAGAGAAGAAATAAATAGTTCTAGCTAGCAAGGACCTTAGGAATAAACCTGGGAACAACCAGGGATGAACCAAATAATTCCTAGCAACAGAACCAACCTGGCTGGACAAAACAGCAGGTGGTAGGTTGGTAAACAACCTCTGGTTCTGTTTTTCCATCCTGGGAAAACAACAACCAGGTTCAGGTCCTAAAAACAGAACCTGTTTTGTCTTTGCCCAACCAGCAAAATGCTGGTTCCGCTGGTTTCCCCTGGCCCTGTAGCATGCAGATACAGACAAACAACATCCAACCTTCACCTAAATTGTACCCCTATAGTGCCTGCTCTGCTACACTATAGTCAACCAAACAAAACAGTACAATTTCGAGTTGGATAGAACTGAATCTGCGCAATCAATTCAATCGAACCGCAAAGCTTCTATCTTGGGTTCCTTTGCGAGCTCGTCCTTTCTGCTTGTACTGTTCATAGCGCGTACAATGTTGTGCCGAAGCGCACAATGCGCGAGTACCTGCAAATGCTTCAAGCAAAAATTGCGAAAGCAAACAATCACGCGAACATTCCATTCACACCCAAATGCATTCGCACACGCATACTCGTATAAACAGACGGCAGGATGTCGTGCAATGTGAATTTGCACCCAACAGATACTCGCCGAGCGGGTGACCCTATTGATTTCAGGGTTGAACTTATTCAGAAAGTCTCTCCCAAGGATCAGGTCTAGCCCTTTGATGCTGGTGGTGGATAGGGTCAGTTTCCAGCGGAGAGGACCCATCTGCAGGTGTGACGCTGCTTCGCCGTAGACTTGTAACTTTCTTCCGCCAACCATCGTAGCTGTAAAGCTTGAAGGTGTGTACTTCTCATTGATGCGTTCGAGGGTTGCTTTGTCGTATACTAAATCGGATGCTCGGCTGTCCACGAGTGCTTGGAGGCGTCGTCCATTTCAGATCACCTCGAGCAGAAGTGGTTGGCATTGCTCGTTGTACCCGTTGATCGTCTCGTTGATTGGATCGTAGGGCATATCCCATAGCTCTGTATTTTCTCCTAGGGTGGCAGATGGCCGGTCCTGCCGTTCCCTATTGCCATGATTTTTTGTTGTCGTCGACGACGTGGTTCTCGAGCTCGTAGTATAATTCCCTCGTAGGGTAGATGTTGCATATATTTCAGATGTTGCAGGTATTTCAGGTGTTGCAGAATATTTTAGATATTGTAGATATTTCAGATGTTGCAGATATTTCAGATGTTGCAGATATTTCAGATGTTGCAGATGCCTCTGTAGAGGAGGTTTGAGGTTGTCGCAGCTTGATGTTGACCTCCAGCTCCCTCTCGAGCGGCTTCAGCGCCACCGACTTCTTCCGTGGGGACCGGTTGGTCGACATGGGCTGGTTGTTATGAGAGAGGACGATCTCGTCATTGGAAGGTCGATCTTCCACGCTCCGTTGTTGGTTTCCTATGCATAACTGCTGTAGTTGTCGTACCGGTACCTTATTTTTCTTCTGGAGCCTCCCTCGTGATTTCACCAAGGCCGTAGACCCTGGGGAGTTTTTCCCAAAAAAAAAATCCTTGTATGATAAGTTTAAGGAGTGCTTACTTTTTACAGGGCCTTTTTGGAGTTGTCCGGGTCCAACAGGGTCTTGTTTCGCGGAGATTTTATTTTCCTCCGAGATTTTCCCTGGTAGAGTCCGTTCGTGGGTTGAAGATTCACTCCACGATTCTCCAATATTCGCATTGAATCTGCTCCACGGTTTTCATTTTGTTACAATCGATGAGTCGATGTCCCGGCTTGCTGCAGAAAGAACGCTTAGATTTGTCCTTCTTTGGTCTTGCCTTCGTGTCGATTCGATCGAGTTCCATCGGGCCGGCATACGTGGGGGTAGCCAAGCGTCCTCCACGTCGTCTAGCTCGTCCATAAAGTCGGCATGTTCCGATCGTGATTACGTCGAAACGTTCTGCTGCCGAAACGTCGTTGTTGTAGCTGCTCCAATTTGCGGCCGCAACGTGCCCCACTCCATACCAATCATACTGCTTCTTCACCAAGTCCGTGGTCCTTGGCACCCCCAAATGCCCCAACCCATGAAGAAATGCTATCATATCCCTCCTCTCCTCCTTCCGTGGTACCGGCTTCACTCGAAGTTCTTTCCCTTTGCCTTCACCCTTCTCTTCTCCACCGTGCTCCATGCCGGATCAACCACTCCCTTCTCCGAGAAGAACAACGTGTTGGTATCGTCCCAAATGTCGAGGGTGGTCTCGAACGCGAGATTCTTACTAGGGGTCCCTTCATCTCCTTCTCTTTCCACTTTTGCCTTCTTCTTGGGCTGCCCCATCTCCTCTAGCAATTGCTCCTCCTATATCCCCTCATCCGGCCGTTGCCCCTCTTCGAAGCTCTCCTCCTCCTCTCCGGTCTCCTCCCCTTCCTCCTCTTCACTCCTTTTCTCCTCTACCTCCCCTTCCTTCTCCTGATCTTCCTCCTCTTTCTTTGCTATCCTCCTCTTCCTTGCTATCCTCCTCTTCTTTGCTATCCTCCTCTTCTTTGCTATCCTTCTCTTCTTCCCCATTATCCTTCTCATTCTCTTCAGTACTCTCCTCTTCCTCGTCACCCTTCTCCTTCTCCCCCTTAGTCACTGACTCACTACTCTCTCCCTCTTCATCCTCCTGCTTGTTGGGAAAGAGGTATGTGTACATGGGAATGGGGTAGCTGGTGTGGGAGATGGGATGAGTGGGTGAGGGGATGTATCCATGCAACTGGGATGGTCCTTCCCCCCCCACATGAAGATGTAACCCCTGTTGCATGCGACTCAAAGCGTCCACGTTGTTATGCGTCTCTCCCGCTCGGTAGGCGATGGTGAAGTCGTACTCCTGCAGCAACAAACTCCACCTAGCCAGCTTCCCTGTGGGGTCATTTGCCGTCATGAGCTATTGGAGCGCTTGGTGATCCGTCTGCAACAAGAACTTGCTCCCATAGAGGTAGGGCCTGAAATGTTTGATTGCCCACACCACCGCCAAGCACTCCTTGTATGTTGAAGACAAATTCCGCTCAGCTCCCCTTGTAGTTCGGCTTGCATATGCTACCACCCGTTCTGCTCCCTTATCGTCCTTCTGTGCCAAAATCGCCCCTAATGCCTTGGCCGAGAAATCTGTTTGGAGCATGAATGGCTTGGCGAAATCCGGGAATGCAAGGATGGGGGGTGAAATGAGTGCAAGCTTGAGGGTGTTGAATGCGTGCTCGCATGCAAGGGTCCATTCAAAAGGGTGGTCCTTTTGGAGCAGCTGCGTGAGAGGGTGTGCCACCTTGGCATACCCCTTCATGAACCTCCTGTAGTAGCTCGTGCACCCCAAAAACTCCCGTACCCCCCGCTGATGGCCTCCACCTTTCCTCCATCCGGTTTCACTCCCTCCCTTGTCACCACATGCCCCAAGTAGATAGTTGAGTAGAAGCCCAGCTCGCACTTGTTCGCTTCAACAAGAGGTGGTTTTCCTTGATCCTCTCGAATGCGTCCCGCAGATGCTCAAGATGCTCCTCCCAACCGTTGGAAAAGACGATAATGCCGTCTAGGTATGGAATGGCATTGGGATGAGTGCGAAAGGTGGTGGTCATGAGGCGTTGGAAAGTGGCGGGTGCGTTCTTAAGGCCAAATGGCATCCGTGTGTATTTGTACTGACCCGTGGAGGTGACAAATGCCGTCTTTGGGATGTCCTCTTCCACTACAAGGATGGTATGATAAGCGGATTTGACGTCGAGCACTGAGAAGTAAAGCGACCCCGTCATCTTATCTAGGATATCATTGATCCACGGCATGGGAAACTGATCGGCTGTTTCGGTTACTGCGTTGAGAGGGCGGTAATCGATCACTACTCGATCCCCATAGTCCTTCTTAGGGATGACGATGCATGGGGATGACCATGGGCTGTTCGAAGGGCGAATGACCCCTTGCTTGAGCAAAGTTTGGACCTCCTCCTCAATCCTAGCGCGCTCGGAAGGTGAGACTCGGTACGGTTTGTAGGCTATCGTCTTGGCGGTTCCCGTGGCAATGTGGTGGCGGATGGTGGGGTGGGTTCCTAACGTCTCCTTCTCTGTTGAGAATATCTCCCTATACTCCACCAAAAGCATCCGCACCTCCTGCTGCTGCTCCCCTAACTCGTAGTTCAAGGAGGCGGGAAGGTTCTCAAACGCGGGGCAAGCTACCCTAGGCGCCTCCTTCTTGAGGGTGTAGTAACTTCCTTGGATGATCCTCCCCTCGTCCCCACTTTCGGCTGCCACGTAGTTCCATTTCTCACCTGCAGGGTAGTTGTACATCTCAAAGAGATGGTCCGTGCTTATCAGCTTCCTCCTCTTATCATAAACCAGCTCCCCTTCTTCCCACTCGTGGTCCAAATACTCATCTCCGTCCACCATGGAATCTCCCTCCCACTTGGCCTCGTTCTCCTCTCCCACATACTTCTCCACCATCTCGTCATACTCCTTGTCCCAATCGATTCCCGTGCCCATCGTATCCCAAGCTCCTACCTCATCTGCCGTTGGGCTCCCAAAGTCATACCCCAAGTCTCCTCCTCTTCTCCTCCAACCTCCTTAATCTCTTTCTCCTCCTCCTCTCCCTCCTCGGATTCCTCCTCACTTGATGCATCCTCCTTACCCCCTTCCTCCTCTTGCTCCCTTAGCCATAGGTATTACTCATCCTCCTCCTCCACGTTCAACTCCATCCTCCCTTCCTCCTCTGCCATGGCTACCCTCATCTCCTCCATCCATTTTAGAAAATCCTGCTCCTCCATCCGCTCCTTGATGCGCTCCTCATCCTCCTCGTTGATGTTCCTGTGGGTTGTGTGGGAGGAGAGGAGCACATAGGAGGGACAGCCACCGCCACCCAATGGTCCCGTGGTGATGGGGACCGAGTCGGTCTCCGTGGTGTTAACTTGGTAGACTATCTTCCCCGTACTAGTCAAGATATCCGCGTTGGCCGAGTAGATCCAATCCTGCCCTAGGAGCATATCGTATGTGTTTGCTCCCGTTACTGCAATGTCTACCGGTAGAGTCAGCTTCCCTACCCTAACTGGTACGTCCGGCAGAACTCCCCATGGCTTCGAAGTCTCTCCGCTAGAGGTGGTGAACTCTATGTTGGTGTCTTGGATGTACGGTAGCAGCCCTAGCTTTCTAGCTATCACGTGAGAGAGGGCGGTTTGAGAAGCTCCCGAATCAACTATTGCGGTAACCTTATGCTTCCCGAGGTACACGTCATACTGTGGGATCTGAAAAATTATGTAACTAGCTCTAGGCGCCTCCTTCTCTACCGGTGCGGCTGCCACGACCTTTGCCACTCCTGGCATAGCGGCTGCCCCCTCCACAATCTCCTCATCCCCCTTTTTCAAGGCCTCCATCAGCTCCTTTCTCACCTTGTCGCTATCTTTGATGTAGTTCCACACGCTCGCACTCACGGGTGTGAGCTTGAGTTGATCCACCACATTGTAGGAGGTGGAGAGGGACGAGATCCTTGCCTTTCCCCTTAGAAACCTTGACCCCCTTGCCTCTTCTCCTCCTCCTCCATCCGCTAACAATCCTTGACGTAGGAGGCCAATTGCCACACCTCATCTGCCAACTCCGTCACCGTTTGCCCCTTCTTCTGCTTCAGAACCGTTAGCTTCTGCATCACTGTTGCCGTGGACTCCCAAACGAACCGATCCTTCAACGCTTGCTCGAACCCCGTCACCGTCTTGAAGTCCTTGCTTTACGCCCACACATAGGCAGATTCTGTGAGGTGCATGAGGAGGTAGTCCAACTTCTGCTCGTCCGTCGTGTTCGCGAGGAAGCACCTCAACGCCCGTGTAGCTTGGCTTAGCCACACCTTGGGGTCAGGGGAGCGTGCATAGTATTAGTAGGTTTACGCACAAGGTCCGTTTTCTCAGCCAAAGGGAGAGAGGGACCTATATGGGCCACCACAAAAACACTAACTTTTAAAACTTCCTGACCACTCTTCTTGCGCATCACCCGGATACGTATGACCTCTCTTACAACAATTGTAGTACGAGACTCCTTTCTTGGACAGCACTTACTTCCTCGCAGAGTTGCAGCCCTCCCCTCGGTCTCTTCTCCACTTGAAAAGGTGCTCCTCCTAAAGTAGACTCCAAAGGGTATTCCAAGGTAGCTTGAGTGGGCCAAGGAACAAGGTAGCTAGAGAGCTTGTGGCATTGGTAAGAATGCACTATGAGAATATAAGTTACACACAACCTACAATGACTTTATATAGTGGAAGGGCATAAACAAACCACCATCCTTCTATCTTATTCAGGCAATCCTAGGAATCCTTCCCCTACTGGCCGAGGATATATAAGCAAACTATTATCCTTTCTTTTGCAATCCAACCAACCAATGAGAGTGCTCCGTTGAGCTCACCCATATCTCCGAGGGAATCTCCACCATAGAACCTTCCTTGTTGCCTTCTTTGTAGCTTTTTCCAAGTCACTTCCCCAATAGATCCTACCATAGCCTCCATCAAGGAAGCTTCCAACCAGCCACCTTCCAAGGAACCTTCCATTTACTCTCATTCCCAAGGAAACTTCCTTATGACCAGCCCATCCTCCTTAATGCAAATCCCAACTGCATGCATACGAATAAAGGGTAAACCTTAGTAAAATACCCGCCACAAGTACCAACCACGTCACGAAGCCGTGGGAGAGGGTAGTGATAGACTTCATCGGGCCCCTCCACACAACGACTAAGGGAGGAAGCAAGTATGTTTCGGCCATGGACCATTTCACCAAGTGGCCAGAGTGCAAACCGGTGAGGAGTGCGGACGCGGCAACAGCAGTGGCATTTGTAGCGGAAAAGATCATCTCCAACCATGGCTGCCCACTAGTGATCCACACCGACAATGGGTCTCACTTGAAGGGGGAGTTTGGGGTGCTGTTGGAGAAGTTTGGGATCTACCATGAGTTTACGCGTTCCGAACATCCCCAAAGCTCAGGTCTTATCGAGAGGTTCCAATGGACCTTGAAGGGGGCGCTGCTGAGGCTTGGGTAGACCAACCCTTTGGAGTGGGATGAGAACATTTGGTGGGTGTTGCTTGGGTACAGGGCCTCAATCCACTCTTCCACAAAGTTTTCCCCCTTCTTGTTGCAGTATGGGCGCCACCAAAACATTACGGGCACCACCATGGCGGAGTTCGAGGCACGGGAGCTGTCGGAGTTATCCACGGAGGAGGAAGCGGATGCGGTAGCCGGGTATCTCTATAGGAGGTCCTCAGATATGGAGCTGGTGTTAGCTCAGGCGGTGGGGAACCAAGACAAGGCGCACGAAAAGCAGAAGCTGGACTTTGACTTGAGGAGGACAACGGCCTTAGAGATGGAGAAGTTGGAGAAGGGGGACTTTGTCCGCATCAAGCCGAGTAAGAGGGTGGTGTGGGTGAAGCAGGCTAAGAAGTTTAAGACGTTATTCAGGGTGAAGGAGGTGGAGCAGTTCGATGTAGTAGTGGAGGATAAGGCGGGAGCCACACCCCCACTCTCCCCACGAAGTATAGGTAACGCCTATACACCCCTACTCTCCCCACGAAGTATGGGTAACGCCTATACACCCCCACTCTCCCCGCGAAGTATAAGACCGCCTGTACACCCCCACGATCAAGCGCTCAATAGGTTACCCACTCTCGTTCAAGCAGTCTTAGGCTACCAGCGACCAAGGCGAATGGGCGATCAACGGCGAACAAAGCAATCATAGGTTACCCTAGTTTAGAGTGGCCTTCGAAGCGGATCGGTGGCGACCTTAGGCGAGCTCGGTGACCCGGGCAAAGTGCGATCAAGAGATTCAAATCCTCCCTCCTCCTCTCATTCCACCCATTCCATCTTCCTAATCGAGAGACGGGGGATCTTGCGACCCAACTGATCCTCGCTTTTAGGGCAACTATGGACGCCGAAACTGATTATCTCTATCAGTGGTTGGTCGATTGTTTCCACATGAGGGCATATTTCCCTATCATGCCTACGTTGGGGATGCGGCAAGGGAATGTGGAGGGGCTGGTGTTCCCGGACCTATGGGTTAATTGGGGAGAGATCTGCGGAGGGGAATCGTTCAAGGTAGTGTTTCTAAGGGTACTGGTGGAAGGGAGTGGAGGAGCACCGAGGATGCAGCTAATAGACATGGATGATCCACGGGTGGAAGGGAGGAGCTTGGACGTAAGGAAGGGAGGGGCAAAAGTGGCCATACGGTATGGATGGGTGCCGCGGGAGATCACATGGGAGGATTTGAAGTTTATCACGGAAGTGGGGATGACTTATAGGTGGTGTACGGAGAGGCGGAGGGTGGTGCCACGACTGGATGAGCCGGGAGAATTGTTTGAGGTACCTTGGCCTTTGATCGGAGTGGGTATGGACTACGAGATAGTGGAGCAGCTGTGGGAAATCTACCTTCCTCTCCCTAATAACTACCGCCCTCATTTCAACCGCTACTCCCAACTCCTTCATGTCCTGTACCCCCATCACTTCAACCACCGCATCTCGTCATACCCTGACCCCTCTCACCCCTTTTATAACTCCCGAGTACAAACCTTCTATTACACCGATCGAAGCCCCATTCACATGGCAGACCCCAGTCCCACCGCCAGCATCGGCCATGATTATGACACCCCTGAGTCCGAACCCCCTACACCTCCCGACTCTCCTTCTCCGCTCCGCCCTGCCGATTGGTGGAGACGCATTGGTTACAACAGCCCACCGCCCACCCCTTCACCAATATATTTCCCATCTCCTCCCCCACCTCCAAGACCATACTCCCCTGCCCTAGACTATGAACATGATGAGCCAACCATTCCCTCTTACCCCTCCTATAACCTTCTTCGGCATGAACCTACTACCCCACTATCTTCACCACCCTCTACCCCTATCACCTTACCCCGTTCCCCTCCTCCATCCCCTTCTTCTCCTACCTATACCCCCTTCTCACCTGATTCACCCCCTTCTCCCCTTCTACCCCTTGAGGAAGACTATGCCCTGGCTAGGTATGTGGTGATGGTACCCATGGGATACGAGTTTGAGCATGGAGAGATCTTCTTGGCACCGGATGGCACTAAGGTTCAGCGTGCATGGCAGGTTGAGTGGGTGAGTGGACCGGTTGTGGTGGAGTCACACTATCTTTACTGAGGTGATAAGAGAGTAAGAGAGCCTTTAGAGGACGGACCGGATTTGGTGAAGTATGAGAGGATGGTGAGACCCCATGGAATGGAATGGAATGACCTGGGCTATAGGGGGTTTCTTTCAGAGTGTGGTATTGAGTGTGCCTTTGTGTGATTTTGGTATGGTATGTGGGGAGTCTTAGGAAGGTACCCTTGTGTCAGGAGCCACAGGACCGCGTCCGAGAAAGTCACATTTGTAACTTAAACACTAAACTTCTAAAGATAAATCTCATTCTTGGTAAGGTCTATTGGTTTGAGTTTACCTTCGGGTTATTTATAAGAGGGTTGGTACTTGTGGAGGGTATTTTACTAAGGTTTACTCTTTATTCTTATGCATGTAGTTGGGATTTGCATTAAGGAGGATGGGCTGGTCATAAGGAAGTTTCCTTGGGAATGAGAATAAGTGGAAGGTTCCTTGGAAGGTGGCTGATTGGAAGCTTCCTTGATGGAGGCTGTGGTAGGATCTATTGGGGAAGTGACTTGGAAGGAGCTACAAAGAAGGCAATAAGGAAGGTTCTATGGTGGAGATTTCCTTGGAGATATGGGTGAACTTAACGGAGCACTCTCATTGGTTGGTTGGATTGCTAGGATCCTAGGCCAATAGGGGAAGGATTCCTAGGATTGCATGAATAAGATAGAAGGATGGTGGTTTGTGTATGCCCTTCCACTATATAAAGTCCTTGTAGGTTGTGTGTAACTCATATTCTCATAGTGCATTCTTACCAATGCCACAAGCTCTTTAGCTACCTTGTACCTTGGCCCACTCAAGCTACCTTGGAGTACCCTTGGAGTCTACCTTAGGAGGAGCACCTCTTCAAGTGGAGAAGAGCCCGAGTGGAGGGCTGCAACTCTGCGAGAATGAAGTGCTGTCCAAGAAAGGAGTCTCGTAGTACAAGTGTTGTAGGAGAGGTCATACGTATCCGGGTGATGCTCAAGAAGAGTGGTCAGGAAGTTTCAAAAGTTAGTGATTTTGAATTTGCACTGCATTAACCAGCTCAAAACGTTGTAGCAATCCTTCTCGGAACTGCTGCCACGTAGCTTTACCTTGTTTTAATAAACCGCTTCCGCTTATCCATTCAATTGCTGGTCCTCGCAGTAGTGTTGCTGCACCAATTAATCTGTTTCTGTCGAGTGCTGGTGCTGTCCATCCAATGGCGGCGAAATAAATTTCGATCGCCAAAAGCTAGCGCCGAGCGTCGTTTTCCCCAACAAAAGTGTTGGGGGCTCGAATTTCTTGGGCCTTGGGAAAATATCGCGACTGCTGCGATCGATTCTGCTTCTGTCGCAATTTTTGCCATCACGCGCGCTTTCACCCGAAGTCGTTAGATCCGTCGCGCGTCGGTCTCGCTACTTCTGCACCGCTCGATATTGGTCCCGACAATTCGCAATTGTGGTCGCTATGTCACAAACGAATTCAACAACAATTGAACTCACGATCCTGTTCAAAAAAACGCGCGAGGGTGGTTATTAAAAAAACGCGGAATCTGGTGCTTACCAACATCGGCGCCGAATTCTTCGCCCCCGGTGGTTTTTTGAAGCAGGGAAGTTGTTGTCGCGCTGCTTAGCTGAAACTCCACGACTGAAAACGGCTCTGATTACCAAGTGTCACAGGATCAAATTTCCACTCAAGAATTTTGCACTAAACGTGAATACAAGGCGTATTTATACTCGGAAATTCATAGACACAAAAGATAATCCGAACCTACGGGAACGCGCTCTTCTAGAATAGATAGTCACAAGTTTACATAAGCACGCAAGCCCATTGGCACATTCGATTATGGCAAGATTACGCCTTGTACACCACCCTCGGTGCTGTCAGTGTCGTATGATGTATATGTCAGTGCCAGAAATACACAATAAGTGAAATAATCAGAAAGCTCTAGAAATTAGAATGGTAGTCCGATTGAGGTAAAATAAAGTGCAAATAAAAGAGGAAAATAAGAAGAATAAATAGAGTAAAAATATAGAAATGAGAAATATGTCAGCGTACTCTCACAAACTTGCCGGTTGGTCCAACGCCCACGGAACCAACTGTCCGCTTGGTCTAACGAGTCTATAGGACCAACTCTCCTGTTGCTCAAATCGGTCCACAGAACTAAGTGGTCGGTAAGTCCAACCGGTTCATAGGACCAGCCTGCCGGTTGGTCCAACTGGTCCACACGACCAACTGGCCGGTTAGATCAACCGGTCCACAAGACCAACTGGCCAGTTGGTCATACCGGCCTACGGGACCAATAAGACTGGTTGGTCCAACCGGTCCATAGGACGAAGTAGCCGGTTGGTCCAACCGGACCATTGGACCAACTGTCATGTTGGTCCAATTGGTCCATTGGACCAACTGTCTTGTTGGTCCAACATGTCCACAGGACCAACTGGCCGGTTGGTCCAACCGGTCCACGGAACCAACTATCCTATTGGTCCAACTGTCCGCATGACCAACTAGCCGGTTGGTCCAACCGGTCTATAGGACCCACTGGCCGGTTGGTCCAACCGGTCCATTCGACCAACTTGCCGATTGGTCCAAAAGGACCATATGACCAATTCGCCGGTTAGTCCAACCGGTCCATGGGACCAACACGCCGGTTGGTCCAACCGGTCCACGGGACCAACGGGCTGGTCGGTCCACGGGACCAACGGGCTGGTTGGTCCAACCGGTCCACAGGATCAACTGGCCAGTTGGTCCAACCAATCCACATAACCAATTCGCCGGTTGGTCCAACCGGTCCATTGGACCAACTGTCCTATTAATCCAACAGGTCCACATGACCAACAAGCCGGTTGGTCTAACCGGTCCATAAGACGAACTAGCCGATTGGTCCAACCGGTCCACAGGACCCACTGTCCTATTAGTCCAACTGCTCCACCGGACCAACTTGTCTGTTGGTCCAACGGATCCATAGGAGCAACTGGCCGGTTGGTCCAACCGATCCACAGGACCAACTGGCCGGTTGGTCCAACCGGTCCACATGACCAACTGGCCGGTTGGTCCTATCGGTCCATGGGACCAACAGGCCGGTTGGTCCAACCGGTCCATGGTACCAACTCGCCGATTGGTCCAACCGGTCCACAAGACCAACTGGCTAGTTGGTCAAACCGGTCCACCGGATCAATTGGGCGGTTGGTCCAACCGGTCCACAGGACCAACTAGCCGGTTGGTCCAACCGGTCTATAGGACCCACTGGCCGGTTGGTCCAACCGGTCCATTCGACCAACTTGCCGATTGGTCCAAAAGGACCATATGACCAATTCGCCGGTTAGTCCAACCGGTCCATGGGACCAACACGCCGGTTGGTCCAACCGGTCCACGGGACCAACGGGCTGGTCGGTCCACGGGACCAACGGGCTGGTTGGTCCAACCGGTCCACAGGATCAACTGGCCAGTTGGTCCAACCAATCCACATAACCAATTCGCCGGTTGGTCCAACCGGTCCATTGGACCAACTGTCCTATTAATCCAACAGGTCCACATGACCAACAAGCCGGTTGGTCTAACCGGTCCATAAGACGAACTAGCCGATTGGTCCAACCGGTCCACAGGACCCACTGTCCTATTAGTCCAACTGCTCCACCGGACCAACTTGTCGGTTGGTCCAACGGATCCATAGGAGCAACTGGCCGGTTGGTCCAACCGATCCACAGGACCAACAGGCTGGTTGGTCCTATCGGTCCATGGGACCAACAGGCCGGTTGGTCCAACCGGTCCATGGTACCAACTCGCCGATTGGTCCAACCGGTCCACAAGACCAACTGGCTAGTTGGTCAAACCGGTCCACCGGATCAATTGGGCGGTTGGTCCAACCGGTCCACAGGACCAACTAGCCGGTTGGTCCAACCGGTCTATAGGACCCACTGGCCGGTTGGTCCAACCGGTCCATTCGACCAACTTGCCGATTGGTCCAAAAGGACCATATGACCAATTCGCCGGTTAGAACAACCGGTCCATGGGACCAACACGCCGGTTGGTCCAACCGGTCCACGGGACCAACGGGCTGGTCGGTCCACGGGACCAACGGGCTGGTTGGTCCAACCGGTCCACAGGATCAACTGGCCAGTTGGTCCAACCAATCCACATAACCAATTCGCCGGTTGGTCCAACCGGTCCATTGGACCAACTGTCCTATTAATCCAACAGGTCCACATGACCAACAAGCCGGTTGGTCTAACCGGTCCATAAGACGAACTAGCCGATTGGTCCAACCGGTCCACAGGACCCACTGTCCTATTAGTCCAACTGCTCCACCGGACCAACTTGTCGGTTGGTCCAACGGATCCATAGGAGCAACTGGCCGGTTGGTCCAACCGATCCACAGGACCAACAGGCTGGTTGGTCCTATCGGTCCATGGGACCAACAGGCCGGTTGGTCCAACCGGTCCATGGTACCAACTCGCCGATTGGTCCAACCGGTCCACAAGACCAACTGGCTAGTTGGTCAAACCGGTCCACCGGATCAATTGGGCGGTTGGTCCAACCGGTCCACAGGACCAACTAGCCGGTTGGTCACCGGTCCATAGGACCAAGAGGCCAGTTGGTCCAACCAGTCCACATGACCAATTTGCCGATTGGTCAAACAGATACATTGGACCATCTGGCCCGTTGGTTCAACCGTTCAACAGGACCAATAGGCTCGTTGGTCCAACTGGTCCATGGGACCAACTGGCCGATGGGTTCAACCGGTCCATAGAACCACCTGGCCGGTTGATCCAACCGGTCCATAGGACCATTATGCCGATTGGTCCAATTGGTCCATAGGACCAACTGGCCGGTTTGTCCAACAGGTCCATTGGACCAACTGGCCGATAGGTCCAACAGGTCCATTGGACCAACTGTCCTGTTGGTTCAACCGGTCCAGAGGACCAACTGTCTAGTTGGTCCAACCGGTCCATAGGACCCAACTGGCTAATTGGTCCAACCGGTCCATGGGACCAACAAGGCCTGTTGGTCCAACCGGTCCATGGGACTAACTGGTC